GCTGAAATAGCCGTGCCGTAACACAAGCCCGCAGCAGTTTCACACGAGTTAATCGCAGGCCTTTAGCTGGCTAGGGTTATAATATAAGACTGGGTACACTGGTTGACAGTTGTTCGGCACAGTGCCGTCGCAGTGAACAGGTGCGCGCGAACGCGGCTACCAGTCTAGGAGCGCACATACAGTTCTCGCGGCTTAGAGGATCTCGAATTGCGCAGTTCACACGACAGAACAATACGCCCGGCCAGCGTGGTGCCCGTCTGTTTTCAGCGCGGCGATCACGTTTCCACGCGAATAAGCCTACGTATTTCAGTACGGGTACTTGCTAAGCTGCGTATAAGTCTTGCAATATTTTTTCCGGTAGTGAACCGCTCAGCATACCGGTACTGAAATCGCTCGTGTGAACCGCAGCTCATAGCCTATATCTTTCTATAGTGGCTATGTATAAAGAATATGTTCGTAAACGGAATATAATCAGATATAAATGTAATGTAAATATAATGATATATTGTATATATATATATATATATATATGTATATCAGTAGAAATATGATCTGGCATACAAACTATCAAGAGTGAATAAAAGCAATGTTGTTTTTATTTGCTCCTGAAACTCTAGTAACGATTGATCTTGAATTAGCACTTTGGCTTATCATTGCTTATCGTCTCAATAATGTCGGATGTTTATTTAGAATTCAGGTGGTTCAAATATCATTAGTTTGCTCTACTAACTGATGGTGTTATTTTGCACATTTACAGACATATTAAAGGATTTGATCCAGCCGTATACTATTGATGACAACAACAGGTTTAAGACAATGGTGGTGTTTGACTGCAGGGGTGTGGAACCAACGGATTTCTCTCCTCGGGTATGAGCTAATATATATTGTTTTCTATTATGAATGTATACGTGTCTACTATATGTTGCGTGCGTGCGTGCGTGCGTGCGTGCGTGCGTTCGTATTTGCGTGGCTGGGTGTGTGCGTGCATGTCTGTGTGCATGTGTGCGTTTATTTGTGATTGCTGTGTGTATGCATGGGAAACCATGTGTAAGGATTTGTGTCTGTGCGCATGTCCAGGCAATTATTTTGTACAATAAACTAAGTATATCCCATGTAACATACATGGTCCAGTGTTCTTCAACACGTTTATTAATATTTTTCACTGTCACAAACATGACGTCATAGTGGCAATCTCACAGCTACACACATTCCTGAGATTCCACACATAGACGGTGAACTGATGTCATAGTTGATGATAATTTCCTAAACATATCTAAGGCTGTTATCTATATAGATCTAAACGTATCGATGTATATCTTATCTATATAGGTGTTTGTTTTTCGTAGACTGGCTTTATTGCCCAGGGAGCAGATTCTAATACTGTATTCAACGACATCAGTCTGACAGAGAAGGTGCGTACCTTATGCACCACACAGTATATGCTGTTAATTACAACAATTATGTTTGTAGTAGTAAGCATTATAATTTTGAACATTTGTTTGGTTTTCTCTAGCTTGCTGGGGTAACCGATAATTAAGTGAATGGTTAACATTGTATGTGTATAAATTTGAACTCGACTAAGTATATAATTAAAATTTTCTTTTGTCAAAAAAAAAAAACCCAAAAAAATGATTGTTGCTATATTGTACAGCTTATTTTTTGAACATTGGCACAAGGCTGATTGCTTTCATGCTGTTCATGTGTTATTCGTAGGAGTGGGCCGACTACGACGAAAAGACGAAAGAATCTGTCGGCATCTATGAAGTGGAGCAGAAGTTTGTGAAGCTGTGAATCCATGGAAAAGCACTGGTTTTGTGCGTCAGGGGAACACTGGCGAGCATCACGCTTTGAGCTGCTATTCCATTCACAATGATTAATACTTGTCACACAGTATGTTTACTAAAGGTTGAGTAAGAACAGTTTGTGATGTGACATGTTTTATACTCTGCCCAGTGTGTCAGACACACAAAATACACACACCAGAATATATTATATATCAACCTTATACGGCATAGTAAATAATGTTCTATATTATCAAAACAAGTGGTGCCATCTTTTGCCACAGACTGTAAAGCCCGGCGCACACGTGAGTAATTTTATTCAAGTAAAATGATGCATGCGTCAAAATACTCACGCGCGCGGCGGATTTTCGTTGGTATTTTGACGCATGCATCATTTTACTTGAGTAAAATTACTCGACGGGCTTTACAGTCTGTGGCAAAAGATGGCACCACTTGTTTTGATAATATAGAGCATTATTTACTAAGCTGTATAAGGTTGATATCTAATATATTCTGGTGTGTGTATTTTGTGTATAGTCATTAGACATAATACGACTTGAGAAAAAGTCTGAAAATAAAGTTAACGTATAGGTTGAAAAGTAATATGTATTGATCTAAGACATTTGGTATATATTCATAGTAGATCACATATCTGGCTTGGAATCTGTAATATGGATGGGGAAATCAATAGTGTTAAAAATTGATCGATATCACTGTAAAATATTGACTGTAATCAGTGAAATAGATGATGTGGATGTCAGTCGAGTTTTTTTGCACTAACGTAAAACGTAAAGTAAATGAATGAGTGAATGAGTGAATGAGTGAATGAGTGTGTTAGTTGCTTCAAATTCATAGATGTGCATTGTTATAGTAATAGCTTTGTGGTTGTAATAGCTCCTACCCTTGATGTCAGTTAGTTTGTTTTGTTTCTTGATTATATAGATGGAATTAAAGTATTAGTGATGAGATTCATCATCTACTGGATGTGTAAATGAAATGCACTAAACATTTTATTTTAAGTCAAATTTACCACACATTACATTTTATGCTGTAATGCCTTTATTTGCTTATAATGATTGTATACTAGTTTGGGGAGATAATTAATAAATTATTTTGTTATAAAAAATGCACCCATCTTCCTAGTATGCTGAAGTTGTTGTTAAGAGATATGAATCTTGTATAAGTGCTAATGAGTGTATTAGGTTGTCTAGTAAGTCTTTTTTTCAAGTATTTATGTTTTGACTTATTAACAATGTAAATACAATAAATACTCAAACGTGGAGACATAGATAGCTAGGCTATCCTCAGATGAACTTTCCTTCTACTGATCTATTTCAGTGCTAAAAGTTATTTTTGTTTAAGTGTTTTTTGTATGCCCGGTGAGAGCAGAAAGCATCTTATCGGTTGGAACTGGTGCACGGCAAGTTTATCTTGACTGGCGTCGTAACGCACGTTCGTTCACAATGTGCTTTAATTGCGTGCGTCAGGATTAGCGTATTAGAGAATGCTAGAGCTATACGCCGCGTATGTACGCACTGTCGCTCTCTTTACGTTTCTCACCCACGCCCGCGCGCACGCACGCACGAGTAAATATCCACGTACAAGTGCGCACGCACACATGCTCACACACACACACACACGCGCACGCACGCACGCACGCACGCACACACGTACGCTCGCACACACGTACGCTCGCACACACACACGCACGCTCACACACACACACGTACGCTCGCACACACGCACGCTCGCACACACGCACGCTCGCACACACGCACGCTCGCACACACGTACGCTCGCACACACACACGCACGCTCGCACTCACGTACGCTCGCACACACACGTACGCTCACACACACGTACGCTCGCACACACGTACGCTCGCACACACGTACGCTCGCACACACACGTACGTTCACACACGTACGCTCACACACACACACATACACACACACACACACACACACGCACGCTCGCACACACGTACGCTCGCACACACGTACACACGCACACACACACACACACACGCACGCTCGCACACACGTACGCTCAGGCGCGCACTGAGATCAGTACCACTTCACGCCGTTCGCCCTCACTCTCAGGCGTAAGTACGTGTGTGTGCGAGTATACGTGTGTGTGAGCGCGCGCCGCTCGCGCCTCCGCTGTTCCCGCGCACACATTACTTCCACGGCAACGCTGCATGCATGGGCAGCACATACTTCCGCTCTCTGCTCTCGCGAACAACATAGCCCCCGCTGGCTGCAGCTGCGAGGATATGTAAAGCCACACACACACGGCTGCGTGCGGTGCTAATGGACGATATGTGACGGCATATGATTTCCTGTGACGGTTATCATCTGAGGAAGCGCATCTTGAGAGACAGTGTGTATGTGTGTGTGTCTGTGATTGGTGAGCGGTGTGGGACAGGTGTACGTGGGCGGTGTCGCAGGGACAGTGGTGTCATCGTTGGAGACTCGCTAGAGAGAGAGAGACTTCACAGAGCATCTCGTTGCACCGTATGACGTGAAATGCCGATGGCAGGTAGGTGTAGTTATCGCTGTAAGTGTAGCTATAGCTCTGTAGGTGTGCGTGTTCACAGCACTAGATATGCGTCCGACAGCACTAGATTTAACTGATATATCACTAGATATATCACTGCACTATTTTGTTTGCTTCAATAAAATACCGTGCTTAAAATCTATTAGCATTGTAATGTTCGTGCATCCACTGCGTGTCTAAACGGACGTATATTGCACATATAGAACTCATTAACAATGCGTCATTTAATGATTAAAACTTCATGTTAAACTCACTTAAGCTGCGGACGTGTATAAACTTGTCCGAAATTGCAGTTTATGCTCTAACCCTTTACACGACCACAATTACTCCTCAACGCAGTCGAATTTTTCAAATACGCGTTCATGGTCATGAAAGGGTTATCCTTTCTGAATCGCCCATATTATTTTTATATTAATTTCCTCTTAGTCACTAGAAGCAATTTCGGAACGTCGTAAAACTGTCGAGCAATGTTTAATTAAGCCGTTATGACGTTCAGCTCATAACTTTTTTTGTGTTTGTGAATTTTTCGGTTATTCATAAATTTAGTACTTAACAGGCAATGGATAAACTCATGGATGGCATGGATGAAGAATGATTATTGCCTCAAACAAACTGGGGCCCGTTGTCAGAAACAAATTTAGTCTTAACATAACAACTGACTCTGCAAAGATGTTTCTTGACAACGGGGGCCCCCGCCGGCTGGCTTGCTATACTAGACTGCAAGCGCGTCGAGTGCGTGCATTGCGTGCGTGCGTGCGTTCGTGCGGCGTGCCTTCGGCTTCGATGCGGCTTGCGTGAGTGCGTGCATGCGTGCGTGCTGCGTGGCGTGCGTGCTTGCGTGCGTGCGTGCTGCGTGCGTGCGTGCGTAAGTACGTGCTTGCGTGAGTGCGTGCATGTGTGCGTGCGTGACGTGCCGCAGCGTGCGTGCGTTGCGTGCGTGCGTGCGTGCGTACGTTGCTTGCGCGTAGTGCGTGCAAGCGTGTCGTGCGTGCGTGCGTGCGTGCGTATGCTTGCGCTGCGCTCACGTTCGCAGCGTGCGTACCGTGCCAGTAAGTGAGTGCGCGGTACTGACCATAATAAATTCCAGGAGTGAATGATACATAGAACTATATTCACACACTGCCCCTATTAATCCTATCATGCTATATCGTACTAAAAATCACATGATCTACTTCTTGACTTGATAACAACTACAAGTCATCAAACATCTTGATAAGCATGCATAGAGATAGGCATAGAGATAGGCGCCAGTGATAGCTCTAGAACTATAGCCCTTCGCTCTGCCACAGGCCAGTTCTAGAGCTAGCACAGTGATAGACTTGGGGAATAATCCAATTTTTATATTCTATATGCTAATTCCATAGCGCATATGTATCCTTTCAGGGAGAGATCGCTTATGTAAAAACGTTATTAGATATTGATACTCTAAAACGTCAATCGAACGTCTACGCTAGCTTTTAATGAAAATGCTCACAGACAGTTTGTAAATAACGCTTTGCGTTGATGGCTATCGCGCCTGCTCAAACAAACAAAAAATATTGCTTAGAAACTGTATAATTTCGTCTAACGGGGCTCGAAAAACGCACGAGAAATCACAAATTACATTGCACGGCTAGTGTTACTAGAGTAGACGTGCTGCTTAGAGCGAAAGTAAAAGTTTAGCAAAGTTCTACTCGGTACTAACTCGATCTATAAATTATCCAAGTGGCCAAAAACACCATTAATTAGTAACATGCGCATTAAAACACTGAGCGGTATTTTCAGTCGGGCGCCGTTGAAATTGTTTGCTATTGAACCTTCGGACTCAAGTACCACAACCCCCAAACACCTATAATGCCAGCCCAAATATCCGTCGGGTTAATGAGCCATTTTCTTATAGCGACCAGACGTGTATACATAACTCATGATACTTACACGATGTCACACACCCACAGGCCACGCACAGCACAGACATGTACACCACAACGCGCGCGCGACGAACACACACCGGACGACCACACGCACGCACACAGCGAGCATGCCACACACACACCCCGCGCATCTAGCGCGGCCTCACCACACACAACATACACACACACGCAACGCACGCACTGCACGCACGCAGCGCACGCACCCACACACATTCCGCCGCAC